AAAAAAAAAAAATACAAATAAAAGACTATGAGATTTGGGGAAATAAAAAAAAAAAGGGAAAAAAAGAAAGTTTCACGATACTCGAATTACCTTGATTATCCGGATTATACAAATCCGTCACTTTAAGTTCGGATAACTCGGCGTATCCAAACAAGCCAGGATCCTTATCCGAACACGATCTTACTTGAAAACCCGGATTTGGAATGCAGATCCCAAGGTAGATGCGGGAAACTAAAACAGTTTCGGTCTGGATATTTCTATTACGAAAGATCGCGTTCTTCTTACACCGATATTGTTGCACCAAGATCGAGAAGAGAATCTTCTCTTGATATTTGAACTTTCTTTAACTACTCTTTCCTTAGGCTAATGAAAAAAAAAAAAGTTAGACTAATCAATTGCTCATTTGTATTTTAAACGATGAGATAGATGAATAAATTTGTACATGATAAATTATCGTACGTATAAACTAATCTATAATTCGTCTATGTGATAAAAAATAGGATAAAAAAAAAACAAAACAAAAAAAAAACAAAGCAAAAATAAATTTCTGCCATGATACGCAGAAAAGTATGATGAAGGAGGGAAAAATATTTCATCTCGGTTAATCGAGATTAAAAGAAGAAAGAGAACGATTATAAAATAATCAATCAAATTCTTTCTCTGGTACTTCATTCCAGTTGACTTTAATTTCCACGTGGTTCTAGATACGCGTACCCATAATAACCCCCATTATTATAGCTATATCTTCTTCAAGGCACGTGTCACCACGCACGATGTATTCTAAACGCGAGAGGATGATAAATTGCAAAATTATCGGCGATAAACGTCGATTAACTCTGGCACCAACCTCCGCCGGTCATTTGCATTTTCAACGAGCACGCAGCCAAATTTTATCAAAACTTCTCAAGCCAAACACGTTACCCTCCTTTCTTTTCTTTTTTCTTTTTCAACTATATTTTATAAAGAATAAATAATAATTAAATAATATACCTACATTGGAAACAAAAAAGAATACACAGAACAAATAGTAATAATAATAATAACAGTGATGGTAGTTAATAATCAATGCCTATGAATATAAATTGTAACAAAAATAAAAAATAAAATGTTGCATAAATTTAATTACAAAACACCGAGTAAAAATAATTTAAAATACAAAACAAATAGTAGTAATAATAATAATAATAATAATAATAATAATAATAATAATTGTTATGTTAATTAATATTCGGTTTCTGTGAATACAAATTGTAATAAAAATTAAAACTAAAATTATTTCATAAACTTAAGTACAAAACACTGTTAAAATAATAATAATTAATATTATATAATATTAATAATAGTAGTGGGGTGTGGGTAGTTTAATAGTATAATAGATACGCAGTATATTTATATCGAATAGATATGGGAAAGCTTGTTTTAGTGAACATCTAGGGATATAGACGTATCTACGAGGGTAGGACCCTTAACCTAGGGTGTTTGGAATTAGCAGTAACGTTGTGGAAGTTAGAGATCGGGTCAGCCACTAAGAGAACTTTAGTTGCCGTCCTGAGCTTAATTCGCGAAGGCAACCAATTCGACCATGAAGACGTCTCATCGGCAGCTTATCGGAACTTGGACAACTACGCTTAGGTTCTTCTTCTTCTCCCATGGAACGTCCAAAGATAAACGTTTGCTTGCTTCGATTCCAAATCTCTATTCTATTCCTTTCATTCCAATACACACACACACACACACACACACACACCTGTCTTATACTAATCTATAGGTACATGTCACAACTGATAAGAATAAGACAAATATTAATGTTAATTAATCTAATATTCTTTTCTAAAATAAATGTTTTTTATAATATTTTATAATATTTTTGAAATTATTACTTCGAAAAATACAAACATGAAATATTCCAAATTTACTGTGTTCATAGAAAAGAGTTCTGAAACAAATTTTTTTAATTTATTTTTATGATATTTTGTATTATAATATTTTTAAAATTATTACTTCGAAAAATACGAAAATCAAATATTTCAAATTTGCTGTGTTCGTAGAAAAGGTTTTTGAAAAAGATTTGTAAACCTAACCGAAATAATTTATTACTCCCGAATAAAATAAAAATAAAAATAAAAATAGAACGATCTAATTTTATTTGTTTTTCTTTTTTATAAACATTAAAGGAAACTAGTTCATTTAAAATTGGCAGCAAACACTGTATCGTAATCTACCATCGAGAAAATATAAAAAATGGCCTGTATTATTCTAGTCGTAGCTATTATACCAAACAATGAGTCACCGTGATAGAAAGGTATTGGATGTAATTGCAGGGGAAAAAAGTAAGGTTTATTTCTACCTCGGTTATTATTTTATAGCCGTCATGTGAAATGCAATGATGTTAAAAAGGTGGATCGATAATGAATGAAGATGTACGATCAATTATGCACAATGAAGCTTAATAATAAATAACTAATCTAACCTAAGTAATTTTAGTCACGTACAAAATGTTAGATGATCTAATTACAATATTAATTAATTATATTTAATAAATCAAATATAAACTATTTTGATTCTTTATTAAATGCATTCTAAATATCTTATATTTATATTTATATTATTTTACTGTATTCAGTTGTTTTTATAGTTTCTTTTGTTTATGTAATAATGGGTTTTTATCTTATAAATAAAATAAATAAATAAATAAATAATATATACAAATACTGACCCAATTAATTGACAAAATACACGTATCAAGTTTAAATTAAATTAAAAAAAAAAAATAATAATAATAATAGAAAAAAATGATAATGAATTGGATGCACAGTGATGCATAATCCAGAATTCGAGCAATTCGTGGGACTAAGTCTTAAACGCAAAGCAGCGGTTTCGCGCGATAAACCTGAGCGATAACCTATAGAGATGTAATTTATGACCCTGCCTTTAGACCGTTTCCAGTCTGTTTAACTAGATTTCTCTGTCATATAAATCGCACTCGCTATTCCGTAACCCACGCTCGAGTAATCCTCTGCACCCACCACCTAGGGAGATTCTAACCTAAACGTTATCTTCGATTTTATTACGAAATTTAAAAAAAAAGAAAAAAATAAACGAATGAACGATATCAAAATTACCGAAATTATATCACTCTTAATTTATTTATTTATCTATTATATCATTAAGATGTGATTCACGATTAAATAATCATTGATGTACGATCCGAAACAATCGTAGGCAACTAGCTATATTCAAAATGCGCGCCACCGATTCCATCGATTACGATTTTAGCTCTATACTCGTTACGCTACAAGCGAGTATCGAAATGCTAACGATAGCCACCCCCACCTCTCGCATCCCCACCTCTCACATCCCCACCACATGCGCCCTGATGGGCCTGTTCAAAGGGATACTCTTTCTTTTTCATCACTGGACGCCTACGACGACACATCTTTAGCACCTAAGGACCATAGAAGGCCACAAGGAACAACAAAAGACTATAAGGATTCACAAGAAACAACAAAGGATTATAAGGATTCACCAGGAACAACAAGGGAACACCCCAACCTTTACGGTTGTGATCGCTATAAGCAAAGCGTGCGAGAGGTGAAAAGGAACGTAAGCGAAGCGGACAAGAGATGAGATCTCTCCATTATATTCTTTTCACGCGAACGATAATTTCCCGGCGTGGCAACGCCACATGGTTGATTCCCATTATTAAAATCAAATATCATCCAGGGTTTTTATACCGTAAGGCTTTTCCAATATGAGCAAATATTGCATCTTTGATTGGCTCAACCACGTGTTTTATTTCACACCTTAATACAACCCGTTATTCTCCAAATCATAGCACATACATAATTGCCAGAGAACTCCTAATCGAGAAATTTAGGCCATACAATTGATGATATGTACTATGATAAAATTATAATAATCTTACGAGAGTTTTGTTATCTATGTGATTTATCTAAAAACTGATTAACAAATCATTAATAAAACACAAATCTATCAATGAAAAGATTGATAAAAATAAAATTATTTGGTTGTCAAGTAAATGATTGTGGATTTTGTCGATAGGTGGCCTTTTAAAATCAGCATTGACTTAATTGCCGAACCAATATATAAATATACGTAATATATATGTTATCTTAAGTTTGTGCAAATACTACTATAAGATAAGATTTCAATGTAAGATAAAAATGTATACATATATAATGTAATTCGATTGAAAGATAGGAATTTGCGTGAGAGTTGTGGGAGAGAAGAGGTTAGGTTCAGTGACATTATCGTAAGTGAAATTTAAAACGTTTGTAGTATGTGTGATTGTGTTTCCTGGCATACTTATGGTAGGTATTCCGTAGCTTTAAGGATCGCGAAACGAGTTAAGCCAAGGTAAACGCTTGGTAGGAAGCGAGAATGTGATCTTCTCAGGATCCTCGTATAGCTACTACTTCTCATACCGAAAGTATTCGGCATATTCTACACTGAAGTATGCCACCGGTATCAGAGGTTTGTGGACTGTAACAAAGCAACCAAGCCCTACGGGCATCGCGAAATCTATATTTAAAGCTAAGGCATTTGAAGGCAAAATGCGTGAGGGTTGCATCAGGGTTACGTCAGAAAGACGACGACGACGACGACGATAAGGATTTCATCTTTAGATTGTAATATTCTTACTTAATCTTTTGATCATTTTTTTTTTCTTTTTTTTACAATATTATCAATAACTTGTTCCGATGTTTGAAATTTTATATTATTATTATTATTATTATTATTATTATTATTATTATTATTATTAATATATGAATTAAAATCAGTTTTTAAAAATATAGTTACTATTGATAATAATTTGAAATAGTTATATTATCTTGAATGACTTAGTAAAATTTTATCTTTAAACTTATATTGAAATAATGACAAGTAAAAAAAAAATTATATCAAGGTTTGAAAGTTCACTGAGAAGATAAAGAAAATAATCTTTATTTACCATATGACGACGTTCATTTCCAATGACTACTCGTTTAACGGGTTACAGTATGCATTGAGCGTTGAAACATTCAAGTTCATTGTAATATATTCCACAGTATATCGATCGAAACGTCGTCTTGGGAATACACTGTTATACTTGATACAAGGTAATGTTCTTCAATTATTCGTCCCATTTCATTTCAACATAACACTAAATAACAAATGAATCTCTCTCCTTTTCTAATTTTATTCTCCTCTTTCCAAAAAAAGAAGAAAACATTCAAGTATTTCGTACATTTCCACCTTAATTTTACTAACGATCGAGTTAAAGTAAAGTGAATGAACTGATAAAAGTGAAATCGGTTTGATCGATAACTGCTATTGCGAATGCATCGTAATAATTATTAAAAATTGTGTATGCAATTTGAAACTATCAAAATATCGAAGAGGTGGGGGGGGGGGGCAAATCTGACATTTATTATCGTTCGCATCAAATAATAATTAAACATTCGAATCAACTGTATTTGAAATGAAAAAATTCCAAGATCTTAAACTGCCGCTAGCAGATTTCTGCTTCTTTTAAAAATAACGAACAAAAAAGATAAAAAGCAAAAAAAAATAAAAGAAAAGAAAAGAAATATGAAAAAAGAGAAAGCAGCAACAACTACGACTACGACTACGACTACGACTACGACTACGACAACGACTACGACGAGAAAGAAAAAACAAAAAAAAAAAGAAGAGAAAAGAAAGAAAGAAAGAAAAAAAAAACAAGAAAGGTATACACAAAAAGGCAGGGTGGCAGGGGGTAGTAGAAAATTTGCAAACAATTCTCGGGAGCATCCTAAAAGTGGGTAGTTTCGTTCCAGAAATAGTCCGAGGGCCAGTACTGTCCGTGGCATCGAATATTGTGTGCACAGGAAGGTTGGTAGTACACGCGTAAATACAATAAAGGATAGAAGAGACCTCTCTCTATCTATCTGCGTGCTTTTTACACACATACCTAGTCAAAGTCACACACTAACACAATTTCATATACCCTCTTCTTTTACAATTCACGTATACTTATACACACACACATATATATTATCATCAAATGCACGTATACGTGCACGAACATGAGAGACTTACTTGTAGTGTTACACAAAGAAGAAAGATGTACACATAGAAGGAACGATGACACAGTGGTGCGGTAAGCCGTAGCATCCCTCCCCCTTTTAGGGGAAGGGCAAAACAATTTCTCTGCATACTTTAGCCCCTCACAACGGCCCCTCTTCTCTGCCATTCGCACCACGCGTACAATGCAACAGCCGTTTCTGTATTCTCTCTCTCTCTCTCTCTCTCTCTCTCTCTCTCTTTCTATCTCTTGCTTCTTTACTCATACTAACACATATAGTCACACATATGTATTAACACGAATACACCAACATCCCTATAACTAAAACCTCTTCACTTTGTCGCCTCATGTGCACGGTAATATATACCTACAACCCTTTTCTCACTCTTTTTCTATGCATCTATGGGTTTAGGTGACTCTATTTCTATCTCTCTCTTTCTCTTTCTCTGCTCTTTTTTACTACGATGCTTTTTATGATACATATACATACATACGTTTATACACGTGAATATAATATGCTTTAGCGTATAGGATTGTTAGCTGGTTGGTTGCGAGAAGTCTCTCTTACCTACGATTTTCTGCATTCATCCCCATCGTATCATTCTCTCTCTACTCTAATCTTCTATCTTTTTCTTTTACCTCTTGATCTTTCATTTCTTCTTTTCTCTTTCTCTTTCTCCCTTTTAGGAAAAAGGAATAGAACACTACGGGTTTCTATAGGACAATTGCACCCGTTTTACACACAGCATTCGTTCATTGTCTCATTCTCCTTCATCGAATTTTCTTTCACCAATTTTACCCCTTTTCGTTTACCCCACCCTCTCCTTCCTTCGTTCACTCTTTCTCTACAACACTCACCCCCAACTCCCAACCCCTATTTTCTTTCTACCATTTCGTTTCGTTTCGTTTCTTTTCTTTCTTTCTTTTTTTTTCTTAGTTCGTCTCATCATCGTCACGATTTACTCTCGTACTGCAGAGGTCTTCATTAATATTCGACGACTTAATTACTTTGTTAGAGAATAAGAATAAGAAGATGGTAGAGGTACGTTGTTTAAATGGGAATACAAAAAGTTAGTTAGGTATAAATCTAACTGTATAACGATTACGTGAATTACATCTTATGAGAATTAATTATAATACGTTTTTGTTTGTATGAATCAAAATGATATAATCATTGACTAGAATTTAATTATTATTTTATATTTATTATGTTCATTATTAACGAGTTTACTAAAGAGAATTTTAATAACGTAATTAGATAATATAATGTGTAATATAATATGGAACATATTAAATAAAGTATTTTTTAGTCAGATTATAGCAAATATTTGAAAAATTGTGAATACAAATATATGAGACAACCTGTATATATTATTTATTAATAATTATTCTAAAAATTATTATATTATATACATATAATTAATTTATTATAAAAAAATTAAATCAATTAAAATAAGTATATAACTATAATTAATTTAATAACTATATTAAAATAATATGTATACTTTTATAATATATATATTATTATTATATTATAAAATATAACATAAATATAATATATAAAATATAAAATATATAATATATAATTATTATATTATAAAATACATACAAAATTATATATATATTTAATAATATATAATTATATATATATATACTTATTTTAATTATTCGCATAAATTAAGTAGAAAGGTATGCCGAACTCGATGAATGTTCTGTTGGACAATTCCTCATCTATTTTCACCTTTCTCTTCATTATCCTATTTCTCGGTCTACCTTAGCAACCTGTTTTCTCTTTCTCTCTCTCTCTCTCTCTCTATTTCTCTCTTTTATGGACTGACAATTCTACACTACGTAGTATAATAACGGCAAGGAATCTAATTACCGAATCACAAAACGTCGTGCAGGAACAGGCAGCTTAAAAAAGTCACTTAATGCTTGATGACACGAGAATAGTAACGCATAGCATAATACTAATGTGCCTTACAGTGAACAGAGCTTCGTATATAATGCTATTACAGAATTCCGAGTGACAGGAAATTCTACTATTTCAACCAGAATGTACACATACATACATATACACATACATGTGATTCAACATCCTATTATCTTTCTCTTTCTCTTTCTCTTTCTCTGACTCTTTCTCTTACTTTTACTCTTCCCTCTACCTCCACCACCCCCACATCCTCCTCCTTTACAATCTCATTTTCCTTCATTGCTTTGTAACTTGTTAAAGTTTCGGCAACGTGTCGTCATACCTTTGACTAAAAAATTACCTTTCATTATCCTACACACATGACAAAATGATTAGATAATACCTGAAACAGTTTTTTCTCTTTTTGTCCTTTTAATCTCTTTTATATTAAAATAAATTTTCAGCCAATAAAAAAATATTCGTCGAAGTAAAGAATACAAATTTTTTGTACTCTTTTGATTTTTTGCTTTGGGAAAAGGTTCCATCCATTTCCAACCCCACATATTGTGAATAATTTTTTTATATTCATTGAAAATTATATTCATTTATTTTTGATATTTTTGAAAGCTCCTTTCTCCATTTTTAATATCTATTTTCTTTTATACAATATTTTTATATATAATAATATATAATATATATAAATTATATATAATATATAAATATATGTAATTCTATTATATAATATTTATATATATATATATATATATATATATATACGAAGAAAAATAATACAACATATTCGAAATTCAATTTCATGTAATAAATCAAATAAAATAAAAATGTTTCTAATCAAATAAAATCTTTCATCGATACACGTGCGTAATTAAAAAAGCTTGCATATAATATTTTATAAAAAAATAATTTAAACTATAATAAAATATGATTTGAAAAAGAAAAATACGAAAAAGGAATTATTAAAACAAACGTAAAAATAATAATAGAATATATTCGAAATTCAATTTCATGTAATAAATTAAATAAAATAATAATGTTTCTAATTAAATAAAATCATTCATCGATACACGTGAGTATTAAAAAAGCTTGCATATAATATTTGATCGACAAGTAGTTTTTCAACTCGTAATAATATATAATACTGAACGTGGTTACGTTGAAATAATGATGCTGACGAATGTCTACGTTAGCGAAAATATGGGATTGCGTTTATTGAGAAAAGGGTAGGTAGGTAGGTAGGTAGGTAGGTAGCAAAAGCTAGGACGGAAATGTGAAAACTGACGAGTAGGATAAAATCCTATGACCCGTTTCCTTGAAACATCTCTTCTGCCAATTATATATAACTAGCATTTAAGAACATTTTTATGTTATATATCATTTTATAGCTACACATAAATGCACAATCTATAAAGCACGTTTTATTATTTTTCTATTTTAAAACAAAACCAGAGAAAAAACACACACACACAATTAACTATCAATCATTTTCTTTCTGATTTAAAAAAAAAAATAAACAAACAACAAATATGAATATTTGCAATGCAATTTTCATAATTATTCACGTTTCAGTTAACATTGATATCATAAAAACAAAAGTCATGGTTACGATGCAATTCAAATTATTGCACGATAAAATTTCTGATATTTATTTCAACTTATGCGACTGATAAAATAAAAAAAAGAAATTTTTAAAATATCAGAAAAATTCCATCAAACGATATCACCTTTTTTTGATCCGTAACTAATATTTAGTATGCGATTAAAACGAGCATGACTACATCATTTTAATCGTTGCATGATGAAATATTTATTAACAACAAAAAAATAATAATAAAAAATATTTCAAAAAAAAAAATCAAAATCAACAAATAAAAAACAAGTTACAAGTTGTAATCAATGAAAAACACGTGATATTTATTCGGTTATTTACAAATAAATATGCAATTAAACTTTCAGATAATAATTCAGATAATTATCACGTTTTTAGACAATAATTAAATAAAGTAGCACGTGTCTAGATAACACCGAGACTACAAAAACAAAACAGAAATATAAAGATAAAGATAAAAATAAAGAGAAAGAGAGAGAGAGAGAGAGAGATAATGTAAAGATTGATAGGAGAATTAAATCACTAGCTAAGATAGGGAATTTCGTAAACAATACCAATCGCCGAGCTTGAGCGAGATCGCAACGTTTGAAAAAGCATAGCCCGAAGAAGTGTGTATTGTAGGGGGTAGTGGTAGTAGTAGTAGTGGTGGTAATGGTATGGTGATGGTGATTGTGGTGGTGTGTGTGTGTGCGCGACTTCGTCCTTGTTATTTATTGTTCGGCCCGATGAGCGTCATTTTAAATTTCGATATAAATTAATTTAAGGGGTAAACGGAGGAAGGAAGGAAGGAAGGGAAAGGAGGGGTGGTTTAAGCGAAAGCGCGCGTGTTGAGCGAACGCACCCGTTGGAAAGAAGAAAGAAGAAAGAAGAAAGAAGAAAGAAAGAAAACAGAAAAGAAAGAAAGAAAGAAAGTGGGGGAAGGGGTGGACGGGGTAGGACGGAACGTAATGGCTCGGAAAATGAAGTTCTTGTAGCCTTGCGAGAGAATCTCATCGTCTAACTCCCTCCCTCCAACCCTGTCCCTATTTCACCTAACGCGCAACCCTCTCTCTCTCTCTCTCTCATCCTCCGACGAGTCTTTTCACCCTCTTCCTCTGGTAAACCACCCCTACCCTTTCTCTCTCTCTCTCTCTCTCTCTCTCTCTCTTTCTTTCTCTGGCATTTAGCCCCTTCGCTACCAACCTTCAACTCACTTCTACTACAACCCTACTACTACTACTACTATTCTGATATACCTCGAAAAGCTCCCCCACTACAAAGCTCCACCTTCCTTTCCATCTCCACGCAGAAACTCAACGTAGCCTGCTGAAATATCCTTTCGCCTCACTCACTCTCTTACTCTCTGTGTATTTCATTCTCTCTTTCACCCTTCCATCCACGCCCAGGCACTCCGCTTTCGCCATTATCTTAAGTAAACAGACTACCTGCGCGCTCGAGAATTCCAGATAAAGTCACATGTTATCAAAATTCTGAAACCTCTCTCTCTCTTTCTCTCACTCATTCTCACACACACAGACAGACAGTCGTTGTACTTATCGTCGAAGCATCCTTTATTAAGTAAGTGCGAGAAAGAGGGTGTCAGGAAGGGATGGAGGGAGGGTATCGTTAATTCCGTTAAGTCTTAGCCGCGCATTTAATACGCAACGAATAAGAGAATGAGTGAAGTTACGACGAAATCGCTCGATTACTACGAACGCGGATGATGATGATGATACATAGGGAGGAAGGGAAGGTTGTATAGGAGAAGGGATAGATGTTGGTAGTGGTGGTAGTGGGTGGTTAAACTGCAGATCGCATCCCCAGCTGTGGCTGCTCTGACGGATATGCCTGGAGACTCTAAGATATATTGCTCAGGATCTGTTCTGGAAACGATTAAGAAGACAGACACAAGTATAGTAAACGTGTGTGTGTGTGTGTGTGTCTTTGTGTCTATGTCTCTCTGTCTGTCTGTTTATCTGTCTGTCTCTGTCTGTTTATCTATCTATCCGTTCTTCTCTCATTCCTATGAGTAATTAACGATACATAACTCGAGTTCTCGTTTATCTACTATTCCACAAGACCTAATAAACTTGTTTTGCACTTTTTTTTATATATATTTACTTACTTTCCTATAAGTAAGTCAATATTCAATATTTGTTAATCCAATTAAAGATAATGATTATTTGATTAATAAGAATTTGATCTAGTGTGAATAAAGTTTAACAATATCCTTCAAAATACGTTTTGTCTATTGCGTTGGTCTATAAAACGACTGTTACAAATAGTCTTTATATCCTTCCAAGTTGCAAAAATGAAAAAATAAAAAAGATAAAGAAAAATAAAGTAAAAAAAAAAAAAAATAAAAGAAACAAGAGAGACAGCATCGTTTAAACTCTTTCGCCAGAATACGAGTAATGGTTCCGCGCCAGACTTTTATCATTTATGCAGACAAAATCCAACTGAGGGGAGGTTGAAAGGTACCGTAGAAGCTTTATATAAAAAGGAACCCCTGTCTCTTCTTCACCCCACCAGTCTCATCACCTCAATCCCTTCCTTCTGTTTCTCTCTTTCTATTTTACTCTAACTGTACAAGTAAAGCCGAGACTCTGACACCTTCTCAACCTCATCCCAGGTTCCCTCCCGGACTTCCCCTTCATCCAACTCACTTCAACCTTTCCCTTGTACCTTCTCTAACAGTAAGCCAGCTCGGTCTCTCGGTCTATTCGGTCATAAGTATTCCAGGGGTGTCTAGGCACGCCGCATGAAACCAAGAATTGCCGGTATGCGATTCGCGTGTCCCAGTATGGCCGCCTACAATCAGAGTGGCACGCGGCACCATCCCCAGGACAACCTTGGTCAACCCTTACTACCTACCCTTCCTTCCCATCCTGCATGGAACCACTTCCGTGTACACGTCCAGACTAGAAGCCAACCCTAAAGAGTGAATCTCCAGCACTTCAGTGATTCCCGCCAATGCATTCTCATCTCTCCTTCTCCTTCTCCTTCTCCTTCCTTCCTTCCTAACTGAATGAGGGAAGGGTAGAAACAGGATGACGACATCCCACGTGGGATGCTTCTCTCGTCTCGGATATCCTCCTACAACACTGTGATACACACATTCTATCAGTTTCTATACCAACATGCAAGACCCCAAAACATTTTCATGACATTCTTGCTAAATTAAAGTAAGTTCAAATATTTTCCTTAAATTTGGGAATTAATGTTTCATTTTAAGTATTAAATATTTTTTTGTATATTAAATTAGTTAAGTAAGTTAAGTAAGGCATGGTTTGCATGTTTATATCATGTATTCCAATGAACTATGCCCTTCAACACTCTGACAAAATTTTAAAATAAAATATCAAGCCTTTTTCAATTTGTGTTCCATGAACTATTATTCAACATGAAAGTTTTAATCTGATGGAATCTAAAAAATAGCAGATTGTACATGTGTGTGTGTTACACATATGTTCAAATATGTAACTTCCCTTCTGAACTGTAAATTTTCAAAATGAAATAGACACAAGCATTCAATCTCCCTTTTGCTTTGAATTTACTAAAACGAAATCACAAACTCTGTAACGATTCTCTTAGAAACACGTTTGCTACATGTCTTATCTGCAATGGCATCGTTATCCACTGATGTCTTTAGTTGTTCAAATAGATATCAATAGACCTGAAGGCATTGTTAGATTCTATAGGCTGCGCCTGTTAGTTCTGATCCTTTGAAACAGTCTCTGGTCTCTCTGATCCCATTGAGCAATATACCCATTTCCAAGATATAAGAATATTCCAATATTGTTTAATGCTATTCTCATCTGATTTATTCCAACATCAAAGACTAAATCTAACTTTTTTTCTTACATTTTGTTGTCTAAACAAATTGATTAGCTTTTGACAGATTGTTTGAAATGAAACATTTGTTGATACATTTGAAAACAAGTGTCGTATACGATACAATCGAAAGGAGGATGATAGGATTGTTTGAAGGGTTGGATATAATTTTATGAATTCAAACAGATATTTAGAAGATCAAACTCTGATCCATTTATTTGGCCTAACTTCGGTGTATTCGAACAGCTGTGGAAATGTTATCGCAGGGGTTATTACTGTCGTTAGTATCGATTAACTAGCATATAGGATTTGTACGTGAACCCACCTGATAGTGACAGTGTTATTACCATTACTAACAACAATAAACTACATTTCTGAAAACTATGTGATAATGATTGGATTATGACCAATTTCTAATGCTGTTACGATTAACAAATTTTACTAAACATCAAATATCAAAAATTAAATTCTCATCTTTTATGGTAGAAAGAATATCAAAATTCAACAAAGATGTCTAAGGCTGCAAGAATACTCAAAGGACCACCTAGAACCTTAGAAACAAATATTTCGTTTGGACAATTTATTTTAGAAAAATTACGACAACATTATGAAAAAGTTTTTGAGGTAAGCAAATAAATTCTGTTAAATTCAATTGAATGTTAATTAAACGATTCATTAATTTGCAGATTGATGCTGAAACTGGTCAATTTTTAACGTATAAAGATATGTTGGAAAAAACAGTCAAATTAACAGAAATTTTAAAAAAACGTAACGTCCAAATCGAAGACAAGGTATCAATCATTGCCGAAAATCATTGCAATTGGTTCGTTGCAGCTTTTGCTAGCATATTCCTTGGTGCAGTTGTTGCACCGATAAATCCAGTCTATACAGAAAGTTCGTACAACAAATTACATTCAAAATTTCAATTAAATTTTATTAGACACTTTGAACTATGAATAAATTATCCCCAACTCGAATGATTTAATATTAAACTAAACAATAATGATTAAATTTATTATTTAGTTGAACTTAAACACGTGCTTGGTATCTCAAAACCACGTATTATCTTTGTATCAAGAAGAACAGAAAAATTGGTCAGTAAAGTAGTACCAACTTTACCATGGAATATAGAATTGATCGAATTGGATGACGAAGCATTGAACAATAACGTACCAACCATAAAAAATTTATTGAAAACTATAGATGACGAAATAGATTATCATCGATACACACTCATTGATATTGGTGATAACAAGAAACGACCTGTTGTTATTTTATGTTCAAGTGGTACAACTGGTTTACCAAAAGGTGTTGCATTGTCTCATTGGAATTTCTTAAATTTTAGTACTACCATTGGGTAAGAGTTTACAATAATTTTATAAATTAAACAACATATCAATGTGGGGATGGTGGTTCAATTTTTCAAATACAATTATTTTCAATTTCAGTACATCCAATTACTTAGATATTACACCAGATGCAAGAGCGTTATTGTTCCTACCACTTTATCACGGTTATGCGTTTGGTGTGATGGCATTGATAACAAACGCTGGAGGCACAATAATAAGAATAACAAACTTTTCGCCAGATTTATTATTCAAATCTATCGAAAAATATCGTATAACATTGTTACCAATAGTACCATCTGTATTAATCATTCTAGCCAAACATCCGTCAGCACTTAATTACAATTTTCGAAGCGTGAAAAGAGCATTCTGTGGTGCAGCACCTTTACCAAAAGAGGTAACACTTACGCTTTTTTTTTCTGTAATAGTTCGGTACGATAACTTATATGAAAACGAACAAAATAAAATCAAATGGTAGGAGAAAGAAAACGATAGAAATAAAGGTAAGAATCGGGGGAGTGGAGTTAAAAAGAAGAAATGTAAGTGCTAAGTGCCAAAGCCGGTCTTTTACTTTTACTCTAGGAAAAAGGGAAGTCGAATTTGAGACGCGGAAAAGTGAACAAAGAACACCATTTCTCGTTTTCCCTGAGTAAAAAAAAAAAAAAATAAAAAAAAAAAGAGGAAATAAAACGCTACTTACGGTAAGAGGGGGGAGAAATAGAAGAAAGCTGTTTTTACAGTGTCTCGTAGAAATTACATTGATTGATTTTAAGTTCATGTTGTTCTTTAATTATTAACAATACGTCCCAAATAATATTTTTCATAATTAAGTAAATGTTGTAAATTTAAAACAAATGAATAGAATTATTATTATTATTATTATTATTATTATTATTATTATTATTATTATTAAAACAAACACAATAATAAATTTGCAGATTATATTGGAAGCAAAGAAACGATTGAACGTAAAATCAATCGATAATGGTTACGGCATGACAGAACTTACAGTTTTGACAGGTATGAGTAACAAACTTGGTAACAACGATTCAGCAATTACTAACATTGTACCTGGCGTACAATGTAAAATAGTCAATCCTGAAACACAAGAAACCTTAGGACCTATGCAAAAAGGTGAATTGTGTGTCAAAGGTGATCACATTATAATGTTAGGTTATTACAATAATCCCAAGGCTACCAATGAAACGATCGATAAAGATGGTTGGCTTCATACCGGTGATGTTGCTTATTATACTGAAACAGGTGACTTGTATGTCATCGATCGATTAAAGGAACTTATTAAATATAAAGGTTATCAGGTATCACCGGTTGAAATCGAAGTTCTCTTGCTTTCTCATCCTGCTGTTAAAGACGTTGCTGTTGCTGGAAAACCTGATGAATTTGCTGGCGAATTACCAACAGCTTTTATTGCTAAACAACCTAATTCTAATGTTAATCCTCAAGAAATTATTGATTTCGTTAAAAGTATGTATCACCATATATATATATATATATATATATATATATATATATATATATTTTTTTTTTTTTTTAATTATTTTAAATGAAATCATGCAACATTTTTCTTGGTCACAGTTTCTTATTTTTAATAAAAATTAATTGTAAATCAATTGAGAAAAATATAAGCACAAATTCATTTTTGATCATCGACGAAATTTTTAAAATTTTCTTTACAAACTAATTGTTTAGTAAAAAAAAACTAAATTATATCATTTGCAGATCAATTATCACCACAAAAATGGTTGAGAGGTGGAGTACATTTTCTCGAATCTATTCCAAGAAATTCAACGGGAAAAGTAATGCGTCGAGAACTTAGAAATTTGGCATCACGTTTGTAAATAAAAAAAACCAAACATATTTTAACATTATGTTAAAACATTTATGAGGAATATATTTCTAATAGATTAAATTATATCATGAAAAATCAATTAGTTTGAAGAATATCAAACATTTTACAATTGATAAATTGATAATAAAGTTATCTTTATATAAAAGAACATAATTTATATTCGAACTATTTCCAATATAGAAAATTGAATATAACAAACAAGCAGTGATAATATTTAAGTTTCATATACGGATTATGCGAAATAAAGTGGTGGTGGATACCTGTTGCATTCAAGTCAAATACGTCAACTCCCCAAATGTGAAATAGTATAATTAGCGTATAATAAAAATATTGTAATCATTTAAATGTGTGATTACACGTTTTAAAATTGTTCAATTTCATTAACAATCTTAAGGATAAAACAATCCTAGAATAATTTACATCTTCTAAGAAGAATCTTATTGAATGAATGAAAGTAAAAAAAAAAAAAAAAATAAAAGATGAGAAATAAATTTCAATTAAATTGATTCGTACATTTAAATTAACAGTGTCCGCTATCGGAGAAATTTAAATTTTACATCAGAGGAGAGACTCTTTACAACTGCAATCATAGGACACGTGAATGTGCAATACTTATATATATGACATATATGAACATACAATACATACACGTAGTTAACATCGTCTGCGTGCATTCGTGCTTGACGTTCCTGTTGATTTAATTACAACGATAGCCCTCTGACAAATCTAATTGACGTGCATCAATTATTTGGTGAACGAAGGCCGTTTAACTCTCATCCCTTTTCCAAGTTGCCAGTGGCCAAGCGGTTTAAAACGATAATTCTATTTTTCACGGTGCTTTCCTAACGAACTTCTACGACGATTATGGAGATAGGTGTTTCTACATTTTCAACCATTCTCTTAAATAAAAAGGTGTGTAACAGGTTAGATGTAATAAACTGTGAAGAAAAAATATTTTTAATAACTAATATATATGAATATATTTTATTTCAAATTTATTATCAAAGTTGCAATTAAAGTTAAAGTCAAAAATAAAAATACAAAATTTAAGTACTCGTTCTAATGGTGTTTTAAAAACAAAATCTTATGGAAAATTTGTCTCCTAGTTAAAAAATGAAAAAAAAAGAAGATGAAGAAGAAGAAGAAGGAAAGAAAAAAAAAAAAAAAAAAAAAACGGAAACAAAAAGTTATCCAATCCAAATAAAATCGTTGTTACATTTCAGTAATGTTAAAGAATAAACGTTAATAAAAATTGAATAGTAATTATTTAAACAAACAAACAAAAAAGTATAATTCAAACGATCTAACGAAATAAATATTGAACATACCTTTACTACTACTACTACTACTACTACTACTACTACTACTCTCTATCTATCTAAAAGACTTTGAAACGTGTTGTAATGTTGATAGGATGATCCAGTGTACGGTACAATTAAACTCAAAATTAAATTACAATTAGCCATACGTTCACGCTGCTAACGCATTTGGCAGGGATGAATGTTCGAGAAGGGAAGGAGAGGGTTAAAAGAGAACCACATATATATATATAGAAGGTGAGTGGTTGAGAATAGAAGGGAATATTCGAGGAATTAATTCGAAGCAGAAACGGAAACGACGTAGAGATGCGTAGCTCAAAATCAACATTAACGCAGGTTCTCGAACGATCGAGACAACTAAAGCAACCATGATGATCATGATGATGATGATGATGATGATAACGCTTACGAATCCAACATGATCAATTCGATCGATTCATTCATCGATCCGCGATTTATCCTTAGTATCCTCTATATATATATATATATATATATATAGTGATCGTTCCAATCTATTTTCACCTAACCATTCGTGACACGCATCGAGCATGGCCACTTTAACCGATGTTCGATCGACAACTACCGATTTACAGGGGAAGCAGATACAAAACCGGCTCTTACTACTACTACTACTACTAATACTATTACTAATACTACCTACAAGATTACATATATATGAGATAATACTAGTACATTCGTAATATGAATTCATAATACATAGGTATATACATTTATCTATATATGTATTATAGGTGAACGATAGATATAACGAAGATTATCGGACATAACGCGGATAATAACGTGCTCGCGAAACCTTCGTATGAAAATGAGATAGCACGAAAGTAGAAGGGGGTAGGGAAGGAATACGGTTGTACAGGATGGATACCCGAACGGTAAAAGAATGTTACGAGAAAGATCGAGAGAGTAAATGAGAGAGAGAGAGAGAGAGAGAGAGAGGAAGAGGAAAGAGAAAGACAGCAGCTTATCGCTCGAGTAGATCCAATACAATGCGAACTATTGTACCCACGTTCACCATCCACTCCAATTCCTAGGGTTGAGATATGCAGCCCAGGGCTCCAGCCTGCACTTTGTACCACGTTTAAACCTATATATATATATATATATATACATATACTTGGGCACCATTTGCTAAAGTTACCTCTACATACGTGTTTGTACGAAGATTTGTGTGTGTGAGAATTGGAAGGTGAGAAGAATGAGTGAGTGGAAAAGAGATAGGATTGTGTATGTGTTACAGGATAAGGTAAGACAAAGTTGAACGTAAAATAAAAAATGTAAAATGTGAGTGAGAGAGAGAAAACGATGGAATGGGATTTTGGTATTAACTCGCTATTCTTCTCATTCTTATTTTCATCTATTTCTTTTCTTCATGAACATTTCTTAGCCTCCGAGTAATACGTGCCACCACTTCCTAATACCTTTCATCCATTTTCTATAAACTTCACGCAATTTCACGCTAAGGTGTGTTACGTTAGAATAGTTTCTTTAACGTTTCTAAAAGTATAACCCTCTCTCTCTCTCTCTCTCTCTCTCTCTCTCTCTCTTCATCTCTTAAGGTAGTACGATCACGTGCAGGACACCTTGTCATATCGGCATTTCCCGAAAAGGGTCATTCTATATATAAAATCGATCACCTTTTTTAAAGTAACTTTCCTGATTTTTACTTCTCTATATGTGTTGAATATTTTTTGGAATTTTTACTTTAACTCGTGGTAACGTTAAATGATTTTTATTATTATTGAAATTTATTAAATGTGATTTCTTTTTCGTATGGATATTTTTTTTTTTTTTTACACGAAATTACGTTTATATTTTTAATATAAATTTATTTAAAAGTAACATATTTTCGTTTTTTTTTTTTTTTATATCGTTGGAAAAACATTTTGTAATACGAAAAATAATTTGGAAAATATTGATATAATTTATATTAAAACGCGAATTTGTAAATAAAATTATTTTTAAATTATACCAAAATATGATAGTCATTTAATTCGATAGTATTTGAGTTACATGATATAGATAAAAATAAATTATAAATAATATTGTTTTCCAGATTTCATCGAGTGAAACAAAATTGCTGCTTTTGAATATCAACAATCTTAAATTACATTTTATATTAAATTATATATCTCATAAACTAAAAATTTAAAAAATATAAATTTTCTTCTAGTTTATGAAATCATTTAAGAGTAAAGGTCCATCACTGATAACTGTAAAGATAATATTGATCATTTACTAAACGGATAAAGATAAATTATCAAAGTAAGATAATCCTAAAAGTAGACACAAAGGGTGAAACATCCCCCATTCGTGCTTTTACAACAGTAAGATTTATTTATTTCATTTATTAAATAATTTCATTTCAATTTCAATTATAAATTTTACACGATAGAAACGAACAAGAGATGAATTATTTTATATAAAAATTATTTTTTTATACACATTTTATTTTGATATGAAATGATCAAAGAGAAAATAATAGCATTTGTTAGGTTCGGAGTAAAGCCGTATGATGTTGTCAAGTGCAGGTATCGTACTATTACTATAAGGGAAAATACTCTTCCCTATCTTCTATGTAACCGAACATTTCACTATCATATTATGTTTGCGTTTTCAACTGAAAACAAATTTCCTGTGTAACACACACGAAGTAGTATATTAATAACCTGTGATTACGAGGACAACGTCAATCTTCTAACAACTTGCTAACGTTTATTGACTGGAAATAACACCAATTTTAACTTGTCAAAGATTATATAACTATTATAATTACACCTATGATAAAAAAACAACAATATAAATAAATTAATGTTATTTTGTGATCACATTTCAATCATAATAAACTATTAATAATTTATTTTACATTCTGAAATATATAAATGATGCTTCGACAACATTTTCAAAATCTAATTTACCTAAAATACATAATTACATAAAGGAAAATAATTTCACGTACATACATTGATTTATTTGTAACGATCGTGTACAACAAATCTTTTCAATAAACTTAAAAAATGTATTAACATTAAAACCATCACATTATACCAATGTGCGTACATAGATATATATAAAACATAATATATGATATCGAATAAATGATAATGTAAGTTAAACGTATCGAAACGTATCTCGTCGTGATGATCGTCGTCGACCGAATGGAAAATCAAAGTCTTACAGGACGTAAAATCGAATCGATATATCACCCTCCGTGTGGAGGCCGATCCTCTGTTTATTATAATGAACGAGCATGCCTGTATATCCGACGGAGGATGGAAGCGTCGAGTGATATGGTAGAGAAGCGGATAACAGATACGAGCTGGAGGAAATCGCTAGTAGCGTGGGGGAGGAGGGTGAACAGATGAGTAGGAGGATGAGGAAGAGGAGGAGGTGAAGGAAGAAGAGGGGGTGTATGGAGGAGGAGGAAGAGGAGGAGGACGCGTTTACGTGCGCCAGACATCCGATGATGCATAGTTGCTGTTGACATGCTGGAACGTCAGGCTCACATGACCTCTCGAGCGCAGCCATTATCCGCAAAGCGACCCCCGAATTGGGACAATAACCGCTTCGTGGAGTCGTGTAATAATTATTGGCTGGCTTTGGGGTAGCATCCCCCCGCGGCGTTATCGTCACGAGCATTTTGCCTCGTTAACTGCCGAATAATAGCTCGACACTAAACGTGCGCTCGCGTGCATTCGCGCATCACCCCAACCCGGGAGTTACTACCACTACTACACCTTACACCCCCAACCCTTGTTGTGTCACGTTACGTTCTGTTGTTTTGTGTTATATAAACGTACCTTATTCTCTCTTTCTCTCTTTCTTTTTCCCTTATTCTATCACTACCACCCCATACCATCCCTCACCCTTTTCCATCTTTCTATCTATCTGTTTATAATACATGTCAGTTTTTACAAAACACAAAAAGAGTAACAACACACGCGCGTGAAAACTATTATTGAAATTAACATTCTCTGAAAATGTTGAAACTATACACGCTTAACCCCCATAATTCTTTAGCAATCGCATTCTAC